GGTGAGCATTAGCATTACAGAAACCAGCAAAATTATTTCCTTATGTCTTGAATAATAGCCAGATACAAATATATACTAGCTTTAAAAAAACTGTGTCCATCTGTTTCCAATTGTTTCAAAGAATAAGGGAGAAAGTAAAATTGTAACTGTAAATGCACTGGGTTGTTAAAAAGGCTTGGAAACACATAGTTAACCTCAAAACTCTGTTACAGTTAATAGACCTAGCCATGGCAAATAATATTGTCATATGTGGGTCTTTAAAATTTCTTTTCATTTTATGTGAAAGATAGGGAGAGCAAGAAAGGGGGAAGCGAAAGAGAGAGGGAAGAAGGGAGGGAGGGAGGGAGAGGGAGAGGGAAAGGAGAGAGAGAGGGAGAGGAGAAGGAGAGGGAGGGGAGAGGGAGAGGGAGAGGGAGGGGAGAAGGAGAGGGAGAGGGAGAGGGAGAGGAGAATGAGAGGGAGAGGGAGAGGGAGGGGGAGAGGGAGAGGGAGAGGGAGAGGAGAATGAGAGGGAGAGGGAGAGGGAGGGGGAGGGGGAGAGGGAGAGGGAGAGAAGTGGAGAGAAGTGGAGAGATAACTTCTACCTGCTTGTTCACTCCCCAAATGTCTGAAACACCCCGGATTGGGCCATTCCAAAGCTACATGTCCAGAACTTACTCTGGTTCTCCTACATGGTTCACAGAGACTCAAGTACTTGAGCCATCAACTGCTGCCTCCTGTGGTAAGTATTAGTAGAAATGTTGGATAGGAAGTAGAGGAGCCATACTCAAACCACGTACCCAGATATATGATGTTGACAACCCAAGCAGCAACTCAACTGATGCATCAAATGCCCACTTTCTCCTACCATAGATGTTTTAAAGGGACCTCCAACTTTCTATATTCTTAACCAAATACTTATATATTTAGGAGTCTATTTTAAGGGAACAAGTAACAATTCAAAAATTTTACCCACAATAACAATGAAAACTTTCTGGACCATAGTCAGTGTTTTGTTTTTGTTTTTCTTTTCGCTTTGTTTGTTTTCATAAGTAAAACTGGAACCAGCCTAAATTTCCAGTAATGTATGAGTGGCTAAATATACAGGTAATACAGCAACATCATACAAAGCATACTCTTGAATGAAGCTCACAGATAGAATTGTATGCAAAATATGATTATAACTATGGGGAAAATGTGCAGTTTCATCTTTGCTGGTAGGAATTGCCTTTTGCAACTTCTGATTTTCAAGAGCCTTAGAAATATGTTTATTTTTTGATTGAACTATAAAAAAATTATCTAAAATGCAAAAGTTGTAAGTTTAGAAAGAAGAATTTTTATTGTCTCTTGCAAGCATTTCTTTTTTAGTTTGTGAAGAATCAGAAACAACCTAAATATGTGGGAAAAATTAAATAGTTAAATAAATTATGGATTACATGTACATAGAATGCTATGTAGCTATTAAGAATTGAGGAATATGATGACAAAGAGAAATTTATAAACTTATAAGAAAGGGTATTATTCTGTTTTATAAAGCAATATATAATATAATATTAGGTATGCAATTTAAAACTTTGTAGAAAATGATGAGACTATACCAAAAATTTTAACAGGAGTTAATGGTGGTAATAAGAACAAGTTATTAATGCTCCTAATCTTTCTCTTGAATTTCTGTATTTTTAAGATGTGTGTAATAAGCATGGCTAGCTAAACCCAAAATTTTTAGAAATCTACCTAGAAAAACATAAAAGAAAGCATTTAAATTGACACCAACTGTGTAAGGTCAACTGATTAAAGGTGTGTGCTTCCTTTCTCTGATTTCTGCAACCTAGATTATAGTTATGCTAAATTTGTAACTTTAAAAACTAAATTTTATGAGATGAACTATGTCATAGTTTATTTTCTCATAAGACATGACACTAGTAATAGCCTTTTACACTTATGTAAGTATTACACTTATGTGAGTATTTACAGATTCCAAAATAGTCCATTTGTGTTATGCACTCAATGCTCACATCATCTGTAAGAAGTAGCTATTATACTAAGGATGCAGAAATTAACATAGTAGTTAAGTGAGGTCATCAAGGTTATATGGCATATACTTATAACTGAATCAGTGTTGGATCCAGTAGTATACTTTCAGCTTCTACATTCTCTTTCTAATGATTCTCACCAAGAATGATAAAGCATTATGCCACTGCAAAGATGATACAAATCCTCTAAGTAGCAAAGACACTGAAACAGAGTAATTTTGATTTGCTTTATATTTATTCTTTCTGTTATCATTATAATGATTGTTTTTTTAGAAGTTAGGCTTTGATGTTTCAGTTAGTGCTTTTCCAAAATATCTCCAATCCCATGATACACTCAACTAATTAAGCAGTGACGTGGACTTTGCATGAAGTACTATTTAATCATCACAATGATTCCCAAATTACTCAGTCTGGGCTCAGGACACTTGTAAACTCTTTATTTAAAAAGTGACATCTGAGATTAAGCTCAATAAAAGATTCTATGGAAAGTAGTGGCAATTTAAAATTTTTTCAAAACAGCACAAATGACCCAATTAAAAGAGGTAAAAATTAGTGACAGAAATAGTATCTATCAATAGTATGAAAACATTATTCCACTTCCTCATTCTAATTTTCATAAATGTGTCTGCATATTCATTATAAGGCTATGGAATTAATTTGATAGTCAAGAAGCCCAGTGGAATAATAATATCTGAAGTGAAAGTTTATATTGTTCTTCAATAACATTGATGCCAATTTCACTAAAATATAAAGATTAAAACTGAAGTCTAAGATATGTTTGAATAAATGTATATACACATTGATAACATAGATAAACCACTAGGGATAAAATTGTAAGATTTCTGCAGCAGAAAAGATCAAATATTTTGTGAATTAGTTCTAAATAAATAAGTAAGTTCTAAATAGATAAGTAAGCCTTCTGCCTTCCTTGGAACTAAGAACAAAGGAAAATAGGTGCTGAACTTGACTCCAGAATGAAATGCAAAGACAAACATGTTTATGAGAGATTGAAATCACATAAGGAGCTCTTAAAAATAGCTCTGAGATTCAAGCACAATGCAAGAATAATTCATGAATTTGAATTATTCTTGTGAACATCAGCCAAGTTCAAGCTCTAACCTTGACATTTACACGTACTAAAGCAATTGAAACCACAAACTATTAATGTACCTGGCAGCAGAGTTCTAACTTTTGTTTTGAGAGCTCAAGTCCCAGAATACTTTCCTATAAACCTTTAAATAAAGAATTCTAAGCATGCTTAATGAGTAATATTTTTAGTATTTTGCATTTTACTAATAAAATATGATGACAAAGTGACATAGATGGTAGGACCGCTAACAGACATAACAAATTTATCTTCTCCAAAGTCAACCTCTGGATCCTTCCACAACTGGCTTTTCCTGAGCTCCTCCTGTCTCAGTCAATGATGACTCCATCCTCCTACTTGCTCAAACTAGAGTCATTCTTGACAATCTACCAACAAATCCCCTAAATTCTCACCCAAAATATACTCAACATGCACATCTCTTTTGATCTTGCCAGGGCCAGGGCCCATTCCACCATGTCCACATTATTTCTGTGGTCTCTTCATTGATTTCCTTCCCCACACTCTTTCTTTTGTCAATGCTTGAATGCTGTACCAAGAGTGATTCTGCTCTGAAAAAGTAAGGCCAATGATGTCTCTACTGTGCTGAATTCCCTGTCTTCTCACTTCACTCCAAGCAAAGGCAGAGTTCTTACAATGGCTGATGAGGTCCTGCAGGCTCTGCATTGCATATTCCCTGGGTCCAGCCACTGTGCCTTCAGGCATGTTTGTGCCTCTTTATGTGTGGTGCTACCTCTGTTTGGAAAGCCCTCCCTCAGGGTTGGGATGGCTTCCACTCTCATCCATGTCACATCTTTACTCATCTTTCCAATGCAGCTTTGAGAGGCACTCTGATAAACCGAAGATGACCCATCTTTGCAACATAGACAATACTGTGAAAGTGCAGGGAGCAGTGATGTCCCTGATCAGTAATGATAATACTCATGAAGGGCCCATTGTTTAGAATACCAAGTTAAGGCGCCTGCATTGTGGTGTAGCCAGTAAAGCCACCGCCTGCTATGGGTTCAGTTCCTGGGTACTCCACTTACAAACCAACTCCCTGCTGATGTGCCTGGGAAAGCAGCAGAAGATGGTCCAAGTGTTTGGGCTCCTGCCATCCATGTGGGAAACCAAGAAGATGTTTCTCGCTCCTGGCTTCAGCCTGACCTAGCCCCAGCTACTGTGGCCATTTGGGGAGTAGAGCAGTGGACTGAAGACCTCTCTCTCTCTCTCTCTCTCTCTCTAACTCTGCCTTTCAAGTAAATAAAATGAATCTTTTAAAAAAAATGGTTAAGATAATTTCTGTGGAGGAAAAAGACATGTTGTGGATTTCTCAAAGCTGCTGAAAGAATTAAATGAATGTATTACCCTTTGCAGGCAAGGCAGGAGTGAGCAGTACATTGAAAGAACTGGGAACCAGCATTCTGGCTTAAAGGGAGAGTGCTATTTTTGACAGCTATGTTATAAACACCATGTCAGTAGTGTGACTTAGGGTGATTACCTCATCTTCCTCTGACTTGTCCTGGTAAACAAGTCACACTGGAAAAAGAAAAGATCAAACCAGTGCTTCTTATCTATTTCTGTGATTGACATCTCTTAAACATTCTTATAATAAAATCTTTTCCTACTGGCTTGAGTGGGAGATACCTGACTTCTCAGCTGGCTTTTATTTTACTTAGGTTATCTCTTCTTATCATTTGATCCACCAGACGAAAGCAGTCTTTACAGAATGCAGGAACATGGAGCAATACACACTTCTACCTCACTCTAACTCTTCCATACACAAAGATAACAATTGTGACTTTGAATCTAAAGTCCTGGAACCTGCAATCATTCATAAGCTATACTAAAGCTAGAATAGATGACCAAAAGCTTTGACTTAATATTTTATGAACATGAGTTACCTGTGCAGATTCGTTTAAAGTTGGGATTTTCCAGAATGTGTCCTGGTAGGCGGCACTGGAACCGATGTTGCCAGAACTCAGGGAACCAGGGATTTCTTGTATTGGTGTCCAGCCTCAGTTTCAGGAAATAATCATCAAATGACCTGACCTCTGGAGACTGCAGCTTTATTGTGATTCCCCCGTTGGCTTCCACCTCATAACCTTCAATGACTTCATCTCTGTCTGCCCATCCATCACTAAAAAATGCAGGGATTGGGGTGGGGAGAGAGAAAGACAAATGTCTCACAAATAGAGCTCAGAGTTATGCATGAATGAAGAAAAAAATCTAGCAAAAATTGAAATGTATTGTAAGTCAGCAATACTACCCATAAACAATTATCTTTGGGATAAAGTAGAAAGTTGTGAAGTGTAAGATCATGTTTATTCTTGGTTTGTTTTATATATGCGTGCAGGTACAACTAAAGTTTACTAAGAATTCACTAAACCTCAGACCCTGTGCTATTCACTTTCACTGAGACAGAAGATGTTCAGGAGTGGGCTGAAGTCCTGGTGAGTCCAGGCAGTCCTGCTCCCAAGTTCAGTGGTCTTCATCACCAATCCACAAAGCCTGTCAATGACTATCCACACTAGGAAATTACAGCCTAGGTACTCAGGGCTTTCAAAATACGAGCTAAATAAGCATTCACCATTGCAGTCAAACCCACCACATGATCTGCCTTCCATGGGGAAGAAAACTGTTCTAGCTCTGAAACTCGTCGACAACAGGTTTTGTACTTGGGGCAATCTTCAAACCTTCCTCCCACAAAAGTGATCAGATGAGTTGTTTTTTTTTTTTCCACTAATGCTTTTACAAAATAATATCACTTAAAGATAAAGTCTCATTACCAGATATGAAAAGAGTTACTCACATTAAATGTGAATTTTTAACGTTTTATTCCATTAGAATTTTTTAATTTTATAAAGAGAATAGGATTTCATATGTACAGTTAAAAGCTGTAATGAAGTTCTCCCTCTTCCTTTCTTCTTTTTTTAAATTTTTTTTTGCAATAACATACTTCCAGTTCACTTTACAATCTCAGGCTTAATTTTCCACCAAATAAAGAATTCAACAACTAGAAAGTAGAAAGCCACTATTCCGCAGGAGTATAGACAAGGGATAAAAATGATAAACAATACTTGGTTATTTTCTGGAACTTTTACATCTATTATTAGTGATATTACTTCCATTTGACTAAGGAGTACATGGAAGTCAGGCCTAAGAGGGTGTCAAAGAAAATATGTGCCAGACAGAGTTAACAGACAATGAAGGCTTCACTCAAGACTATTGCAACAGGTGAGACATTTTGAATTCAAATCTGCTGAAACAAAAGTTTGGAGGGTTACCTAATGTTGAGGTGAGCTAGTGGGAAAGCACCAGATGATGACGAAAGGTGTGGGAGGGTGTTGGCCAATATAATTATGCTGTCTGTATTTGCTGATCATCACTTATCTAACTTAGGCTCCTATCCTCCCACAGAACTGTGATTTAAGGGTTTACCATCATTCCTAATGATTGCATTTTGAAGAAATAGCTCCCAAGTCTTTGGAAAAGACATTCCTGAGGTGTGAAACAGGCCAGAGGCTGAGAGAAGGTTTACATCTCAAGATAAAGAATTTACAACTGCAAGTTTTGTAAGGTACATGTGGTATGAAAAGGAAAGTCAGGTGCTCCAACTCAGGAAGAAACTTATGTAAAGGTGATTCATGCTGAGGGAGCATCAAGGCCGCTGTGATCAGGAAGTACATTTTTCTTCCTTGTCACAGATTGTGCTCTGCAGTTCGTGGGACATAACCAAGCAACTGGTTGCTTCGCACAGAGCAGGGAACCAGGTCAACCGAATACATGAGACTGAGCATGGCTCAGCCCCTGTTAACTGAGATTAATTAGGATAAATGTACTCTCCACTTAGCCAGACTAAATGATTTCGTTGCTCTCTAGAATCTTTCCAGTGAATCATTGAGCTCTGTTTCCAAGAGGTTGAGAGTTGTAGGAAATAGAGCTGATTTTTCCAGAGTAATGGGTATTTGAGGCACAATCTGTCTACCTCGTCAGACCAGAGAATGTCCATATGCTTCTAAACCTTCTATAGGCTGACACAGATCTTTCCTTCTTTCTTTTCTACTCCTTTCTGGTTCTCAATCCTCTCTTCATTTCTACCATCACTCTTTTTTGCATTTACCTATCAACCAATGTGTGTCAGACATTCTGCTAGGAATACAACTGAGCATAAGATACACAACAGCCTACCTCCAGGGTGTTACATACTAGTAGGAAGAAAAGACATTAAACACAACTATAAACTCGGGTGAGGGCTGAAGAGAGAGAAGACTTGGGAATTCATCTGATTCTGGGGTGTTGCTATGTGTGTGGAGTTGGGGTTGTTAGGGATGGCTCCATTAAGAAAGTGATGTCTGAGCTGAGATCCAAAGGTGCAGTCAGCTTTACTTAGGTGAAGAGAAGAAGAGGGATTGGTACAGAAGATCTCTTCTAGGTTAATATGGAAGATAGAGCATGGCATCTTTAAGAAATGCTGGGAGTGTACAGTTGGCACATGAGTAAGGCCACCATGAAATACACCAAACACTGAAATTAAGGGAAAGGTTTATTGTTGGGTGGGGAAAACCCAACAGGCCTGAGAGAGAGGGCAAGAGAGCAAGAGAGAGCACGTGTGCAGGAAGCAGGTCCTGTTAGACTCTTGCAGGGGGTAGGGAAGTGGGAGTAACAAATGCTGTTAGGGTGAGGGTAGAGCTGACACTTGTGGTTGGGCCCTTTAGTCACCTGACAACTAGGAAGCCAGGTTGGACTTAGGACTGAAGCTTACTGTGCAAGATGGCGTCAGAGGTCAGAGCCTGAGATGGCACCACAGATTAGATGGCACTATTTTACTAACAGCATGATAGTATATTCATATATCCTAGGTACTGTTAGCTTAGGGACTATAATAACTTGGTGTTATAAGCCTATTATTCAACAAAGGCAGTCCGTTCCCCTCCCTCATGATAAGTGGCCTGAATGTGGTTCTGGAGTGTTCTTTGCTCACCATTACTGAATGAGACAGCCAGTCAAATGGATAAGAAAAAAAAAAGAACCATTCATCCATCTTTTTGTATGCTTAATCTACTTAGAATGTCTCTACTTGATTATTTACATTTAAAAACATTTATATTTATGTTTTAACTTCTTCTTATAGCAGATTGGAGATTTGAGCAATAATTTGTATCATGGTAAAAAAAAGGACAAAATAAAACTAGTTAGTCTTTCAAGAAATTCTGCTTATGAGTAAATACTTAAAATGACTTATCACATGAAGAAAGGAATTACTTTTTGATATAAAGGTTAAGCCTGAAGTGTAGTTTTCCCCAAGGTCAATTGTTATGTGAGATTTATTGTATTTACAGTTTATACAAGAAACCATCTCACAGCTTTAAATAAATGTATGAAATAAGCTTTCTATGTTTATTTTCATTTCTGCTCAAGCTTAGTATGTGAAGACAACAGCATGTGTCAATGCTAGAAGCAGATTAAAGTGTCATCATCCTGCTCTTGAGCCTACAGAAGTCACGTCATGAGAATGATGCTTTGTCTGTGAACACAGACAGATTTGAACTCTGTAGTCTCAAGGGTTAGAGTCCAAAATTCTCTTCACTGTTGATCAAAGCCCTTCATGTCACTGAGCGTGATTCCCCTTCCAGAAGTTATAGCTGGTGTTACATTCAAAGAGAACCAGAATATAAATAGAATTATTTAACAAATCCACTTGGAGAATATCTTCTAAAGAGTTAGTTGCAAGAATTTTGCATGAGATCTGAAATCTATCACAGGTAAGGTGTTAGGGCTGTTAACAAAAAACAATTGTGCTAAGCAACCATAAAGCTTCTCCTTGTTTTTATACTATTACAACATTTCCTTTATGTATTCCTTATCAAACACATTTGATGAGAATTTAAAAGACATTATACTGGAATTCGGGGTGAGAATATTATTTTGGTGAATTAACCCTGTAATTAAAACAGGGTGCGAGTAGCTCATTTAATTATCTGCCTGGGATGTTTCTCAGAAGATGGTGTTGGTGGTAGTGTAGACTGTGTTTGACCTGAGATGACCTTCAGACACCTTGTGACTCCCTCAAGGATCTGGAGTGAATCATGCTGTGCTGGGTGATGACCCAGCCTCAGATGGTGCTGGACTCTGCGAGGCACATTCACAGCCTCTAGCAGCTTCTGCCACTCCATCTGTTTCCCAATTATAAGTTCCTTTTCCTGACTAGAGTCTGAAAGTAAAACTGCCTAATGTGGAGGAACTGGAAAATGGGTAAACAAAAGCTGTATATTTTAATTGTTTCTCACTAATACGTAAGAATCCTTATTACCGATCTCCTCTCAGTTTTTGCCCACACAACTATTTTCTTCACATCAAATCATTTCCTCTAACATTCCATATTCTAAACTTGAATTCTAAGGTAACTTCTAACAAATTCTGCTTTTAACCACAGGAAGATATGATATCTACTTCCACCAATCATAATTGTTACAAGCTGCATACATGTTACATTTACATGATATTAGTTAAAATAATCAGCAAATTGATAGCAAAAAGCACAAATATAATAGTATTAATCTTTAAATGTGCAAAATCATTTTTGAGGTATCTATTTGCATTCAATTAAAATAATTACAATATAGTAACTAAAGCAATTTTATTTAGTGATATGACTTCAATTAATTGCATAGATATGAGTTCAAGTAATTGCATATATCTGATAATAAACTGTAATTCTTCTGAAATATTCAGACTATCAAACAATCAGGAAAAGAAGAAAAACATAATAAAACCATATCTTCAAAAGCCACAAATAAATAAGAATGAAATATTTTAATTTACAATGTTAGTTATATTCACAAGGAATGAGGAAATGTGTTATAATGTAATTTACATCAGCTGATATTGTGGGAAATATCAGGGAAGTAAAGCACCTTTTTCAATAATAATTTAGACTGGCTTTATTCATTTGACAATTATCAGATGAATAAATTTATTTACTGAACAATAAATGAAGGGAGCCCTACAGGTTTCTGAGCTTACTGCCTGGAGTTTTCCAAACCATCACACAAGAAGGTAGGGACAGGTACAGTCCAGTGGATTTCCAGGGGGATCAAAAGCCTTAAAAGCCAGGGTGACCCGAGTTCACAAGCAAAG